AGTGCTGGGTTGGTGGGAGCACAAGACACAATTGGAGCTGCCACTGTGAGCAAGCAGTTTGGTGACTGGTCCTGCAGGGGAGACTCTGGGCAGCCCGGAAAGCACGGGCTGGGCTGCAGCCTTCACAGTGAGGCAGGTGCACGTCACCAGTAGGTTTGGCGATCAAGGAGTTCACATGAGCCATAAAGAACATTTAGGTGGCTAATCTGTCTTAAAAATGAGAGCTAGGAGTGTGCCCTTGTTACAGAGGGCAGTGATGTGTCAGCCTAGTCACCACAACAGCCCCATTTGGAAGCTGGTGATCTTATGTGCCTGTGCACTTGAGAAATTCCATAGACGGCAGCATGAGTCTGGTCACTTCTGGACCAGAGCAATCTTTTCATTGATAGGAAGCTGAGGACGTGAAACGGGTTTCAAGGCCATATTCAGTATGGACCTTGATGCTGACTGCAGCCTGTCCTTCCTGCAACAAGGCTCTTTCTTAGTATTTCACACTAATTCCTGGTATTAGAACTGGCTTCTCCCCCGAGTCAACCTCTATCAGAGAAGAGGCTTGAGTGCTATGTCTTGAGCAATGAAACAAATTTTATCATAGAAACCAGACATTTCTTATGGTTAAGACTTAGCTTTACTCAGTTAATGCATACCAACCATGTTCACTGCATTTGTCATCGTTGTTAATTCTTGTAGATCAGATAGACATAATTGTTCTCCTTTCACAAATGAAGGAAGGAGCCTCCCAGAACTGAAGTGGTTTGGTCCACATCCCAGGTCCATCAGGTGGGAGACGCAGGTCCAACTCAGTCCCAGGGCTCCCTTGCAACACATTCCAAGGCCTCTGCTATTTTGCAGAACTACCTCAAGACTCTTGTCTTTACTTCAGAAACATATTTCTCTGTTGGTTGATGATTCTCTATTTCAACTTTTCAATGATATATCATACAAAAAATCTTTTAGAAATACTGGATAACACCTCAAAAAGTCTTTGGGAGTTGTCAAATATGGAAGTGTCTGAAAAATATATGAAATGTATGAAGGACTCAATGGCCTTCAGTTGAGACAAGGCCCTTGAGATAAGGCCTTCAAAACTTGTCTGAAAATGGTGATTTTTACTTCTCTTTATGCTAGAAGTCACTTCCTTATAAAATTCCAATGAAGTGGTCTTTCTTTTTCTCTCTTAGTTGATGTTTTTTTTTTCTCAAGTTAAAACATTTTATGTTATAAAAATGAGTTATGGCAGTTAATGATTTCACCATGAGTGATGAGTGCAGATCAACAAAGCCGTGCTTGGATAAGGATTCTGATCCCTGGTTGAGCTGGTCTTCACCCCCAGGCCCAGAGGCCCAGGCACATGGAGGTATCCCATGTGTTTGGAGGTACATGGATGTGGGCAGTGCAGGTAACACACAGTCTCCTGAACCTGTACTAAACAGCATGCAATGGGAATCCTTCCAAAATAAATTTTTATCATACTAACAAATAATTTTTTATTACTTCTTTGTGTTTACTTAAAAACAGTCCTGTAGATCAATATTTATGGCCATGAGTCAAACTTTGGGACATTAAAAAAAAAAAAGAGAAAGTGTGTGTGACTTGTGACCTATCAATTAAGAATTTGGAAATATTGTTAGTGATATTTGAATAGTGAAGGACTCCATTAAATAAGAGATTTAGAAAAAGACTTAAAAATAGTGTTGCTATGTATATTATCTATAGTGAAACAGATCACCAGCCCAGGTGGGATGCATGAGACAAGTGCTTTGGCCTGGTGCACTGGGAAGACCCAGAGGAATTGGGTGGAGAGGGAGGTGGGAGGGGGGATCGGGATGGGGAATGCATGTAACTCCATGGCTGATTCATGTCAATGTATGACAAAACCCACTGAAATGTTGTGAAGTAATTAGCCTCCAACTAATAAAAATAAATGAAAAAAAAAATAGTGTTGCTAATATGTATAGTTAGTAAAATACTCACAACTGAAAACAGAATTAACTGAGATACAAAATCTTAAGAAAACACTGAAATGAGCTATGGGTTTGTTTTTGTTTTTGTTTTTGTTTTCACCTGGAAGATATGATTTGAAGATATGATTTGTGAGATGAAGAATGGGTCCTGGTTTTTAAAACCATATCTGTGTCCCCTTGAGAAGCGTCCTAATTCCTACTTCCTCTTCTGTGGCCTGGCCCAATTCTTTGTGAGGTTCTCCCTCGTGAGAGCTGTAGACTGTAAACAGGATGGGCACACTAGGATAATGACCCCCCAGGCTCCTCTCCTTGAACCCCCACCTTGTCTTGGAGACCCGACTTCCTCTGTCCTCGGGCCCCCACTGCTCACTCTGCTGAAAGGCCTTCCTTTCTCAGTTATTACCTGGCTGTATCTTCTCCCCACTCAGATCTCAGTTTCAGGGCTACTTGTTCAAGGAAGCAGGTTTTGATCACTCTCACTTAAACCTCCATCCTGTCCTCCCCCCAACCTTTATTTTAGTCCTTGTCCTTCTTTAATAACAGCTTACATAACTTAGTTATTTTATGTAATTACCAACATGTTAATTTATTTGTGTCTGTTTCCCTAAATAGAATGCAAGCTTTGTGAAAGCAGGGTCCATTTCTGTCTAGTTTCTGTCTGTAACATAGCAGACACTCAATACAGGGCTCCCCTGGTGACTCAGTGGCAGAGAGTCTGGCTGCCAATGCAGCGGACGCAGGAGACACAGCATCGATCCCTGGGTCAGGAAGAAGGAAATGGAACCCACTCCAGTATTCTTACCTGGAAAATTCCTTGAACAGAGGAGTCTGGTGAGCTGCAGTCCATGGGGTTGCAGAAGAGTCAGACTCAACTTAGCTACTAAACAAGAAGACACTCAATACATGATTTTTATTTTACTCAGTAAATGAGTAGGTAATAAAAACTATAGTCCTGCCTACATGGGCTGGTAGTCTCTCTCTCTCTGTTTTAATGCCCTTTAATCCCCATACAGGAAAGCTGTGTTGGTACCATTAAAAAAAGAAAGAAAAAAATATGTTTCTGCTAATCAAGGGTAACCCAAAGTTTTTGGACTTACTATCATGGGGCTGCTAAAGGCAACTTAAACTTCCATTTTCAATCCATTTCACAGATGTTAGATGATGAGTAGAAATGGGCTAATTTCATACATCCCTAAACAAAACTTGAATGTCTTTCTTAAATTATGCCAGAAACCACAGAATGTGTAGGGAAATGCATTGTGGGACTTATCGGCATGTGTGATGAACACGTGGAAAGTGTGTGTGAATCTGTGTTAAATGCTGTTTCACATGATGGTTCATTTGGAATCTCTGTTACTTGTTACCTCCTTTATAATGTACCATGATAACTGATTTTTGTATTGATACCACCAGAGCCCCACTAGAGCATAAACAGAGTCTCCCAGGGAGGGTGGAGTGAAGTTGAACAAGGTTTTATTTGCTTTTTGTCCCATGAAAACTGGAAATCCATTTTTGATAGTTTTTACTTTTTAGGTTTAATTATTAGCAGCCGTATTTGATGTGTTTATTAGAGGACTCATTTCACCAGCAGAGCTCACTGTGTTTGGAGTAAAACAAGAGTGAGAACAAGCTGCTGACTCCAGTGGAAAAGAGTATAATAAAGAAGGAAGCTGGTTGATAGTTAGAACACAGCGTGGGGTTCTCTGTTCTTTTTCTGAGCCCTTGTCTATGAGGTAGTGTTAGACTCAAACAGCGGTATCTCGAGGAGGGAAACCATGCGTTTGACAGAGCACAGAAGACTTAGTGGTATAGCACAATAAACAAACACAGCAAACTATACATTATAAAAAGGCTGTACTGGCGGTCCAGAGGTTAGGGCTCTGTGCTTCCAGTGCTAGAGCCCAGGGGTTCAGTCGCTGGTCAGGGAACTAAGACCCGCAAGCCACATGGTGTAGCTAAAAAAGGGGAAGTTTGAATAAACCAAGGAGTGTACTGGTAGTAATGGCTAGGCATGATACTACACTATTTTTTAAGGAAAAAAGACTAAGAAAATGGAATGAATTTATTTTTTTGTTTATCTGTGCTTCTTGTTTTGATTAAATTTCCCTCATATATTTTCTTCCCAAGGTATGCCTTGTCAAATTTATTTTTAGTATGTGCCATATAACTTCTAAAGCACACAATATGTCTTCATTAAATGCAAATTCTTATGATTATACTACTAAAAATAAGTACTGTTTTATATTGTTGCTGTTGTTCAGTTGCTAAGTCATGTCTAACTCCTTGTGACTCTTTGGGCTGCAGCGTACCAGATTTCCCTGTCCTTTGCTATCTCCCAGAGTTGGCTCAAACTCATGTCCACTGACTTGGTGATGCCATCCAACTATCTCATCCTTTATCATCCTCTTCTCCTCCTGCCCTCAACCTGTCCCAGCATCAGGGTCTTTTCCAGTGAATCGACTCTTCACATCAGGTGGTCAAAGTATAGAAGCTTCAGTATCAGTCCTCCCAATGAATATTCAGGGTTGTTTTCCTTTAGGATGGACTGCCTTGATCTCCTTGCAGTCCAAGGGGCTCTCAAGTGTCTTCTCCAGTACTACAGTTTGAAAATATCAATTCTTTGGTGCTCAGCCTTCTTTATGGTCCAACTTTTACATCTGTACATGACTACTGGAAAAACCATAGTTTTGACTAGATGGACCTTTGTTGGCAAAGTGATGTCTTTGCTTTTTAATATGCTGTTTTGGGGGTTTGTCTTAGCTTCCTTCTCAGGAGCAAGCATCTTTTAATTTCTTGGCTGAATTCACCATCAGCAGTGATTTTGGAGCCTAAGACTAAAAAATCTGCCACTGCTTCCACTTTTTCTCTTCTATTTACCATGAAGTGATGCGACTGGATGATAATGGGTATCTTAGTAAAGATTTCATAAAATTTATATCTAAAAAGTTCTTGCTAAGAAGCTGTATGTCATCCTATTCCTCTAAATTCCAGACTAATTACACTTCTTATTTATGAGCTTGTTTCTCTCTGTTTCAGCCTATGAATTACAGAACTGCCCTGACCCACCACCTTTCCAGAATGGGTATATGGTCAACTCTGACTACAGTGTGGGACAGTCAATATCTTTTGAGTGCTATCCTGGGTACATTTTAATTGGCCACCCAGTTCTCACCTGTCAGCATGGGATCAACAGAAACTGGAACTACCCTTTTCCAAGATGTGACGGTGGGTTAATCACTTTTCTCAAGCAGTTTCATTTTCACATGTATAATGGTGCATGATATATTAAAGGAATGCATTCCAGAATTCATTAATTTGTTCAACCAATTTTTATTGGGAATCTGTTATATTAAACTCATTCCACTTAGTATTTCAGGAATATATCATATGTCAGTCAGTTTAAAAAAATGGAAAGGCCTTGCCTTCAAGGAGATGATAAGGATAGCAAAATAATACACATGAATATTTATTATGCAAAATCAGGCACGAGGAGTGTTTTGATGATTGAAGGTACAAAAGACGGTGATTGTTGGGGAAGTGAATGACGGTATTATCTTCATGGTTAGAGCAGTGTTTGGCTTTACAGTGGTTCCATCAGATTTTGGATTAGAGGGGGATTGAGTGTGTATCTTACCCTAGATACTTTTTTATTGTTTAACTTCACAATAATCACACTGATTTTGTATCTCAGAAAACTGACTTCATTTTTATAGTTAGATTTGCATGGCACGTACTATTTTGCTACTCAGAGACAGAGACCATCCCAGAGAGAAGAAGCAGTGATAGCAAAGCCATCCTAGAGGAATAGTCTTGGGGGGAAATGAAGTAGTGTCCTATGATGGTGCTTGAGGATCAGGATTTCTTGGAAATGTTCAAATCAGGTGATGGGAATGGCATCAAGGAGAGTCTGGATTCAGTGAATATCCTTGTCTGAGCAGAAGTCACTTCTTCAAAGCTTCTATTTGACTATCTAATTTTTACTATGACTTTGAAATTTCTAAAACTTTAAGTTAAATATATCAAGTACTTTGTTTTTGAAGAAGTCATATGAAATAGAAAAGTTTGCTGTAAACCTAATATTCTAACATTATAAATACAGTACCTCTGAATGAAAAAATAATGAAATTACCAACTCTGTGGACCTTTGAAATGCTAAATACTTATATCCCAGGGGCAAAAAAGGGAAAGGTATCCAGCTGTGTTTGAATTTCTACTGTAGAAGTTAAAAAAGAAAGCATATAGATAGACTTTTTAAATGATATTTTTCACCTGTACGTTTCCATTCTTTATCATTATGTAAACAACTATAAAAGAAAAACATTTACTGTGTTTTTAAATCGTAATTTTAATCAACTACAGATTTAATAACTTAAAACAGCATTTAAAAATCATTTTATAAAACTAACAATAGCAGTGGGATATCTGATATTTTTTATTAAAACACTTTAAAAACTACTCACCATTTTAAAAATTCATATGTTTTTATGTATAAATTGCTTTGAATTGTTAGGACTGAAATCTCTTTTTACTTATAGTTGTTCCCTGAATTCTTTGAATTCACATGTTAAGTAGGAGACTCCTTGGCTTGATATGAAAAATAGAATTAAATATTTAATTAGATTTTATTGCTTTTTCAAGTCCAACTTTCCAACATGGAAATAACTGCCAGTTTAGAATTATTTTGTCAGTGTGATGATAATAAAATATATCATTTTGGATGATATATGATACAGAATATTAATCAGAGTTGGCAAAACCCTGAAGCTAAAATCCTGCCTACACCTAAGACTGCCCAGGACTCTTGGTGCCACTTGAAAGTCCCAGGACCACAGCCACCCTGAGGGTGGATAATTCACTGGTAGGCTCACAGAACCCAGTAAGCCATCTACTCACGATTGTGGTTTATAACAGAAAAGACAAAAGTCACCCAAGGAAGACAGATGCTTGCTCCTTGGAAGAAAAGCTATGACAAACCTATACAGCATATTAAAAAGCAGAGACATCACTTTGCCCACAAAGATTCATCTAGTCAAAGCTATGGGTTTTCCAGTAGTCATGAATGGATGTGAGAGTTGGACCATAAAGAAGGCTGAGTGCTGAGGAACTGATGCTTTCAAATTGTGGTGCTGGAGAAGACTTGAGAGTCGCTTGGACAGCAAGGAGATCGAACCAGTCAGTCCTAAAGGAAATCAACCCTGAATATTCATTGGAAGGACTGATGTTGAAGCTGAAGCTCCAATTCTTTGGCCACCAAATGCCAAGAACTCACTCACTGGAAAAGACCATGATGCTGGAAAAGATTTAAGACAGGTGGAGAAGGGGGCGACAGAAGATGAGATGATTGGATTGCATCACCAACTCAATAGACATGAGTTTGAGCAAGTTCTGGGAGTTGGTGAAGGACAGGGAAACCTGGTGTGCTGCAGTCCATGGGGTGGCAAAGAGTTGGACGATTTGGGGCAACTGAACAATAACAACATTATTAGATTAATTTCTAAAAAATAAAAGTAACCAGGGAATATTCTTTTAAAACCAAAGTCCCTCAGGTTGGTGATTAAGTGGACTTTCTTTCCCTCTTCCTCTTCCTGAGGTGGGGGTGGGGCTGAACCTCCGATCTGAGGCTGGTTCCCCTTGCAACTAGCCCCAAGGCTTCAGATTTCCTAATTTCTTCATTAAAGTAAACTCAGGTGTGGTTGAAAGGGTCTTGTTTTGAATAACAAAAGACAATTTGATCTTTTTTTTAATCACTTTGTAAATTCTAAGGGTTTTATGAGTTCTGTGCCAAGAACAGCGAGGAAGATCAAAAGTGTATTTCTTATTATTGTTGGGGGAGTGTGTAATTTCCTTGGTTCTGTCTTGTCACAACAAAGATTTGAAGCGACAGACCAACATTACAGCCCTTGAATGGGCCAGCATTGCAGCTCTCGGACAGACCAGTGTCACAGCTCTTGCAGTTCTTGGATGGACCAGTGTTACAGCTCCATGTTACAGCTCAGTTTTATTTAGAAAGTAAAGGAAAATATATCCTTGAGGCATGAGGGCTTGATGACCCAAAAGATGTAAAGAGAAGAGAGAGAGACCCCCAGCCCTTTGGCTCCTTGTTTTATATGTTTTTTGCCTCCTCCCCCAGGCCTGCCCTATGTAAATTAAGCTAGCCAGAAGTGCTGTTTGTTCTACCTGAGGTCCTCACTCCATTCCTCGGACCTTACTTTGTTCTATTTTTGCGGGCTTTTCTCTTCCTTGTCTTTTAGCCACCACCATTCTGGACTCCTTTTTCCTGTTCTAACTACCTAACATGATAAACGCCACTACTGCAGTGTTTATTCATGTATGTGAAGGGATTGCCTATGTTGGCTCTCTGGTCCTGGTGTGGAGGAGGGATGCCATCTGTGTGGCCCCCAGTTGTGAAGTGCAGTGTGTAATGCTCTCATGTTCTATGGTATCTCTCCTGGCTGCCTGGTTGCCTGCCCCTCCTGCTGGTCCAGGCTCCTGGGCAGACAGGTGAGAAGCTGGGAAGTACTCATGGTTGCAGGTGGTGCAGGGACCCTTCTGTGCCCAGATGCTCCCCCTTGCTGGGCTTGCTGGCTGTTTTCCACTGGAGGGGCCTCTTTGACCCTCAGCCTCAGGGAGAGGATGGAGGTGGGTGCATTTCCTGCTGAACTGGATTGCAGGTCCCTGTTGCTGCAGAGATCCCTGAGACGCCACTGGGATGTGGAAGTCAAAATATAGCTTTGGTGCCACGAAGTTGAGGGGAAAACCTCTGGGAGAAGGTGCTGGACCAGGGAAAAGGGAGGGGCAGCTTTACTCATTATGTCTTTTTAGGGTCCTGCATCTTCCTCTGTAGAATATAAGATTTTGCCTTGAGGAAATGTTTTAAGTGCATTGAGAGTATTATCACACAAGTCAAACTTCATATTTAGCTTTTTAACATCTTCCTTCATCACTCTGCTGAATATAGCAAGCTCTGCAAGGCAGGGATGGGGTCAGCATGATTCTCTGCTCTAGCCCCAGTTCAGCCGAGCTGCCTGATACATAATAGACTCTCCGTAAACACTCATTGAACATAGGAGTGAAAGGATTTGTTATTTGAATATCATAGATATATCATGGCAAATATATTGAGTGACCTAAAAAATATCAGAATGTGTTTTATGAAGAAAATAACCATGTCATTTATTTTGCCTTTTAAGAGGTGGACACCATGTTTTATGTTTGTTCTGCTTTCCACCCTCCCCATGGGAAGGGTACTACTCCATGTAAAGTGGCTATACTTTAATAGATGCAAATTAAAAAGTCAAAATGCTGAAGGAAAATTTGGAGTTATAAATCAATACATAATGAATAACTTCAAATCACACATGAGCTATGTCAGCCAGTGGCTTCAACACATGCGTTAAGTGTTTTCTCTTCATTGTCTCACTCATTTCCAATCCCTCAATTACTTGGTGTCTGTTGTTTATTGAGATCTGAGCCAGGCAATGGGATTGATGAGAGGAGGTTTGATGGGGCTATGGATATGGTCCCTGACTGCTAGTTGCTAACAGTCAGATGGTGAAGAACTGTAGTCCAGGGACAAGTATCCAGACCACAGCGCCAGGAAAGGCTGTCAGGAGGTTGTGACATTTGAGTTGAGTTTTGAGGAAGGGACCAGTTCACCTGCCAGCAACACAGGAGAAAAGTACAAGAGCTGTTCATGCAGGTGAATGAGGACATGACGTTTGCAGCTAGGAAGAAGTGTGGCCTCTTAGGGGTCACCACGTAGTCACTTGTGACTCCAGCGTGGCTTCTGGCCCTATTTTTACAGATTAGAGACATCTGTATGTTATAGTTTGCTAGCTTACAAGTCAAGGTGTATCTGACTCCAAAACCTGCTTACAATTATGCTATAAAACTTGTAAAATGTTCTCCACAGTGCCTTTAAATAAGTGTACCCAAAATTCAGACCAAGTCAGTCTACTTGACACTGGTACATTTTCTGTCTACTTTGAAATCAGTGTGCATCTATATGGTTACTTTGGCTTCATGATGTTTCACCAGTCATCATTTTAAATGTACATTTAAAAAATGTACACTGGCTTATTCATTCCACCTAAATTTTATACTTTTTTTCCATTTATTTTTATTAGTTGGAGGCTAATTACTTTACAATTGTAGTGGTTTTTGTCATACATTGGCATGAATCAGCCATGGATTTACATGTATTCCCCATCCTGATCCCCTATGGCAAATATTTGAAAGCCTGAAAAGATTCATGTTAATAACAGACACTCTTATAGCATCTACTGGCTTTTAATTTGATTAAAATGTCTACTTGCCTATGACTTTGATGTATTTATACCATGATGTGAATTAAAGAATATATTTTGGATTATCTGCTCATGTATGATCATTTCATTTTTCCAGAAATAAAACAAAATAATTTCTATGGCAAAAGTGATGATCACTTTATTAAGTAAAATAAAAATGGACTCTGGGTATTGTTGAGATTTTTACATCATTGGTAGTGGATGAGATGTGGAAGTGTTTCTATAAAATTTCACCTACATAATTTTATCTCCTTTCTCGAGGTATAGATCTCAGGAGAATTTATAAGGTCTTTGTTTCAAGGCAGATAGACTTAGATACTTCTCTTTTAGGCATTTTAAATAAGCTTTAGAAATCTCACCTAAAACAAAAAAAAATTATTTTTCAGTTAAATATTCACACATAATTTCAACATAATCCCTTGCATCAGATAGTCCAATGGATTATCAGCTCAGTCTCAGGAGACTACTGACTAAGGTTTTTATTTTTTCTTTTTTTTCTTTCTTTCTTTCTCCTTTTAATTATGTGGAAACGACTTTATCCTGAAGGGATTTTGAATGTTTGGAGAATATGTTAAAAAACTTAGATAAGGTAGCTTAGGAGTAAAATTCTTCCAAGGTTTTAAGACTTGAGAGGAATTATTTTGACAAAGTAGTTGCTGTGGGATTTTTCACAATTATTTCTTAGAAGGAAAACCTCGGCTAAGGGACTTTAGAGGCTGATAAACATCTCATTGTATCTTTTTAAAGTGGACTGTGTTGGGCTTGATTTTTCTTGGCTTTCTTCTCAGCTCCTTGTGGGTATAATGTGACATCTCAGAACGGGACCATCTATTCTCCCGGATTTCCGGACGAGTACCCCATTCTAAAGGACTGCATCTGGCTCATCTCAGCGCCACCTGGCCATGGCGTCTACATCAACTTCACCTTGCTGCAGACAGAAGCTGTCAATGACTACATCGCGGTTTGGTATGAGAACCTTTCCTGAAAACACCCATCTGTCCTTGTGATAAACTGTTCTTTTAACCACTTACATGTCACTTCTGTCTATTTAGAGATGGAATAGTTAGGTAGATGTCAAAACAAATTTACCAACTAAATCTAGAGATAGAATAAACCTCATGCTCATGTACCATGCTACATGGTAGATATATTCAGGATTACTCTAGATAGAGGAGAATATCCCAAAAGTATTTTATTTTTCATGTTTATTTCTTGTTTTAATTTTTATTTATCTTTTTGGCCATATCACATAGCTTTTGGGATCTTAGTTCCCTGACCAGGGATTGAACCTGGGCCCTTGTCAGTGAAAGAGTTGAGTCCTAGCCCCTGGACCACTTGGGAATTTCTTCTTTTCTTTTTCATTTTCAAGCATAAATCTTTTTTTTCGTAAAGAAAAGCTGATTGGATCCTTTGCCATATAATAATTTGATGCTTCTGGAAATACTGAAGAAATGATTACACACAGCTTTCTCTCTGTACTTTATAAACCGTGCAGAACTGCCCCCTCCCTACTCCCCCTTCCTCACCATGGGCTGTGTAGGGGATGCTGTGGGGGATGTAGCCCTAGCTCCCCATCTAATGAGCCGTGTAGCCTGGGTTCCGTTCAGTTCAGTTCAGTCGCTCAAGTCATGTCTGACTCTTTGCGACCCCATGAATCACAGCACACCAGGCCTCCCTGTCCATCACCAACTCCCGGAGTTTACTCAAACTCATGTCCATCGAGTCAGCGATGCCATCCAGCCATCTTATCCTCTTTCGTCCCCTTCTCCTCCTGCCCCATTCCCTCCTGGGTAAGTTAACCTAAACTCTCCTTCACTGAATGTTCATGTCTATTGAAATAACTATTTCTACCATTGCCTTTGGAGGTGAGACTTTATGGGGAAATGGGAATGACAAAATATGATGGGAAGAGTACAGCTTACCATTGGGGCACAGCCCAGATTTGGAATAAGTTGGAATAAAGTGCTTTAGGAATAAAGTGCCCTGAAAACTCAAGCATAATCAGAGTTAACAAGGCAGTGTGTGTGTCTGTGTGTGTGTCTGTGTGTGTTGGTGAAGTTGTTGTAAATGTAGGGGTTATCTTAGCCATTGGAAATTCTCTGAGGCAAGAGATTAGGTGAGTTGCAGGCACTGTGAGGCCCCAGGTGTGATGTAGCTGATGTCTTGGGAGAGCACAGGAGAGAGAAGAGTTGACCTGGCCAGGTAAGCTGGGCAGACCATACAGGACCTCATAAATCATGTTAAGGATTTTGGGCTTCATCCTAAAGCAACATGGATTCACTTTAGAGTCATAAGAGGGAGAATTACAGGACCAGGTCCTGGTTGCAGAATACCCATTATTATTGTGTAGGGGGAAGATCAGCTGGATAAGATGGGAGACTGGCCTGTGAGGCTATAGAAATAACTCTGGGAATGGTAAGGAGGGGAGATCAGGGGACAGGACCTGTGTTGTGGGAACGAGCAGAAATGGAGAACCTGAAATGTTAAGTTGACCTATGAAGCAAAGCAAGACAGACAAACAACACTGAAATGAAAAGCCACACTATAGTATCAGCAGGTTTACCCAGATTAATCAGTAGATTTAGCAGTAGGAGCAAGGTCTCCCTCCAGCAGCGGAGGGAGCCCCTGTCCTCCAAACACTCATGAGACAGACTGGAGTGCAGTCACCTATGAATATTAAACATCTTAGTATTTCTAAACATGGAATCTAGAAGATGGTAATATTTTATTCAGTTTTTTTTTTTTAATATTTCAATTCAGCCACAAGAGCTCCATAAATCTCACCCACAATTAAAGAGACACCCTGAATTTAGACTTTTAAAATGGGAACATTTGAAAGGAAGCGGATAAGTGGTAGTGACATCACTAGAATAAATGTGACCTTGTCTCAAAAACACCTTTGAGAAGGTCAGGTGTGGGAGGAACTAGGGAGCCCTAAGTTGCTGTTTGAAGACCAGGCTTTTCAGCTCTATCCTGGGTTCAGACAGACAGAGCCCAGCAGTCAGAAGAAAACGGTTGTGAATTTAAGCTGTAACTGGAAGCTTTTTATTTAGAGGGCTCCTCCTCTCTTTCCCAGGGATGGTCCTGATCAGAATTCTCCACAGTTGGGAGTTTTCAGTGGGAACACAGCCCTGGAGACCGCATACAGCTCCACCAACCAAGTCCTGCTCAAATTTCACAGCGACTTTTCAAATGGCGGTTTCTTCGTCCTCAATTTTCACGGTCAGTGTATTTTCACTCCATTGATGATGGCAGAGAATCCTAGCTGACTTTTCTCATAGGGTTGACATAAACTTTGTTTACAGCTAAAGTTCCATGTTTCTGTCAAACGAAAGCCTACAGGATTTTCTCACATTTCATGCTGAGGTTCCTGTGATTCCTTTTTCTTACTGATGTATTTAGGACTTCGCATCTCTTTTATAGTTTATCTTGGATTTGCCCCCAAGATAAGCGTATTGTATGTGAAACTGATATGGAGGCCATGGAAATATATTTAGTAGCTTTCAGAGATTTCCTCGTCTCTGTCTCCAGATGAACCTCGATAGTGAATGTCATGTAATTGTAGATGGGACAAAGTGAATCTCTACTGATGTTGGGAATGAATGCTAAATAGTTTGGGGAGAAGCATTACCGGTCCCTTATCTCTCTTGAGGACTGCCACATGCACATCCTCAGGAAAAGAGACCGAGGAAGATGATGTCAGATCCCAATATGGATGTGGAACCAGCAAGAACCATTTCTCCTGCAGAATTCCAAATATATGTAAAGTGTTTGTATTTAAACATCATAATTTTTTTTAAATGGTATACTTTTCCCATTCAATTTTGTAAGCATTTGAAGCTCGAGACTTTAGTAAAACTATAATTTACAAATATAGATATTTTCCTAGACCTAAGCATAGTAAAAACACAAGAGAGATGTTTTTTGTAAGATTTTTGTTTATTCATCAAATGTAATTTCACTTACTATTTTTTTATATAAACCATGTAGCATTTCAGCTCAAGAAATGTCAACCTCCCCCAGCAGTTCCACAGGCAGAAATGCTTACAGAGGATGAGGATTTTGAAATAGGTAATGTTTTCATTGTTACAACATCATCAGCTCAACACGGTTTTTTTACACCCATGCAACTGCAGTAGATAGCCAAGATGAATGTTTGTTAGAACTATTCCTAAAGCTTTCCTAGAGAGATACATATTGGTCATGAATTGAATAAATATGTTTTTTTCTTCATCTCCATGATTTTTTTTTTCCATTTAAATTTTGCTTTTGCCACTTTGAGCACATTTTCCTGCTGCATGACTCACCCGTTTGTATTTTTTCTCCTAAAAGCAGTTTTCAGACACAGACTTAAGCAGATGTTTATGTTTAGTTAGGGAACCATTTTGGTGCACCAGAAGAAGAAAGTCATTTGTGGCTGAAATAATGGTTAGTCTAACATTGACCTTTCCTTGAAACTGGAAAGTAATTGGTAAATATATTGAATGATACTATTTAGAAATTCTGTTTTTTCATTTTAAATTGGTGGCCTACTTCATTAAATCATCAGGCCACACTAAGAAACCTACTGTGGCGTACGTTGGCTGGCCAGTTATTGTGACAAAGGATTTCTTGGTCTCAATTACAAATACCCAGTCCTGTCTCACACCCTGTTTTATAGTGGTGGTCAAACCATGTTACCAGTTTCTGCCCTATTCCTGATGGCTTAGCTGATGAGAACATTGTGCTACTTAGACCAAGGTCATTTTGTAGCCCTCTCTGGATGCATTAAAGACATTCTCTTATATAGCCTTCAGTCCCAAGCCTCTGAATCCCTTTTCTTTCCTTCTTTCATCTTTCTTTCTTTTTTATTAGTAATCATAGGGGAAAGGGACTGAACATAGACATATCAGTCAAAGAAGAAAAAACTGCTCCCTAATCTCTATAGAAATACTGGTTACATTTAAAGAGAGCATTTTTATAAATTAAGAACTGAAAATGACACCATTTCACTAAATAGACTAAGCATGAATACCAGTCATGGTTCAGAAGTGGTTTTCATAGCAACTCGAGTGTCACATGTGTTTAATAACGTTCACACACTGCATGTGTCATGGAGACAGGATTGCCAAGTATGCATGTGGACTCTTTCAGGAGACTTCGTGAAGTACCAGTGCCACCCCGGGTACACGCTGTCTGGGATGGATACACTGACCTGTAAGCTCAGCTCCCAGCTACAGTTTGAGGGCGCCCTGCCGACATGTGAAGGTATGAAGCTCCTACTACAAATATGCTTGTTCCGTATGGAGGATTGTATTACTTTATTGGTGGGAACTTCCTTGTATGTATCTGAATTTCTTTGTATGCATCTGAATTTGTCTCTGTTATGATTGTCTTGCAATTTAAATTACCCAAAAGTAGAAATACTTAATTACCCTTCTCTTTTAGCTAGCTGTACAAAATCAAAACTACATCAAATAAGACTTCTTGCTATTTCCCAACAGTTTGTGAGTGACATTTTCAAGCATATGGCAAAGTTGAAATACTTTAAAACTAATACCCATCACCAAGGTTGCACCATTAATATTTCCTACACACCCTTTGTCACTTGTCTTGTCTCTATTCATACATTAATGTATTGAATTATCAATATTTCTGATACCTTCTAGGCAAATTGCAGGCATTACTATATTTCCCTCTGAATTCTTTGGCATAAAAGAATGCATAAAATTATCTAGTGTTTACTCTTTTCTGTAAAATATAGAGACATTGAAATGCACATGTTTCATATAATGCATGTTTCATATCTTTGCCCCATGTGTAATAATAGAAAATATACAATAGCAGAAGAAAATCTATTGATTCAGTTGATTTGTATATAATTAGATCACTTAAAAAACTTTTAAAGGTATCACTTTCAAAAAAAGAAAGGTATCACTTTCAAGTTTTATTGAAAGGAAAAACGATTTGGAAAAAAAACATAAATAAGCTAAAGTGTCTCAATGTAAGTCAGAAGTATGATTGGTTTGCCTATCAGAAAGCTTCCCAAATTAAGACAGAATTTATTTTGTGACTTCAAAATCACAATCACATTTGCTTCCTTTAAAGAAGGGTTTCCCTGGTAGCTCAGTTGGTAAAGAACCCACTTGCCATGCAGGAGACCCTGGTTCAATTCCTGGGTCAAGAAGATGCACTGGAGAAGGGATAGGCTACCCACTCCAGTGTTCTTGGGCTTCCCTTGTGGCTCAGCTGGTAAAGAATCCACCTGAAATGCAGGAGACCTGGGTTCGATCCCTGGGTTGAGAAGATCCCCTGGAGAAGGGAAAGGCTACCCACTCCAGTATTCTGGCCTGGAGAATTCTGTGGACTGTGTAGTCCATGGGGTTGCAGAGAGTTGGACATGACTGAGCAACTTTCACTTTCCCTTTCCTTTAAAAATGGAACTTTCTCCATTCCCAGTTCTTTCAGAGAATTTGAATATTATAATTCATTAGGGATAGTGAAACACATAAAAAGTCAGAATGCAGGAAGAGAAGACCTATAGTCTAGGTTTGATTATCCAGTGATCTTGTTTAAGACACTATTCCTCTGGGCATTATATGTGTAATGAGAAGGATCATTTGTCTGCATTGTTTAGGGAACTGGTATAAAGATGAAGTAAATATTAAATTAATTCTAAGCATCTTATAATGCTAATTATCTACCCTGTAAAAGGCAATTTTCTTTGCATTGCAGTAGTATTGATTTTGCAAATGTTCAGCCCATGAATTGATTCTTCCAGAGTATCTGGTAACTTGGTGCGTTTTCGTTGCTAATGAACACCTCGTTATTTAAAAAAGGAAATAGGGACTATGATGTCTTCTACCAAATACTTAAACACTTAATTATCATTTTTCTTCCAATACTTTTCTTTTGTTTGATTGGGCCCAATCCTCCAATAAATTCTTGATGACAAATTGTACTAGTTATGAGTCCTACTTCTTCAAGTGTCATAACCACACTTTTAGAAGTTCTGCTTTGAAAATTGTCACCACTTTAGGGTGATTGATTATTCCTTGGGAATGAGGGGAATAAATTGTTCCTTGAAAGTTCACATTTTATGCAGATAAATATCACCTTGTTGGATACTTACCTTGATTTAGAAAAAAAATAAATGAGGGTCTGGAATGTTATTTGCCACCACCAAGCAGTTCTCTCATTTTCCTTGGACATCAGCTGAGTGTCCTACAGTCTTAACTCCATCCTGAACTCTTGACCTAGGATAATGTCAAATCCCACAGGGTTAGAGGCTTAGTCTCACAGAACAAACCTTACACCACATGCCGATTCCAACTCCAGGTTGTCACCTGTACTTCTGACTGACTGGTTATTAATCAGGGGTTCCCAGGAACCTCTCCTCTGGTTTGATCCTTCCATCAATATTTTTAATTAATTTATTTATTTTAATTGGAGGCTAATTACTTTACAATATTGTGGTGGTTTTTGCCATACATTGACATGAATTAGCCATGGGTGTACATGTGTCAACCCATCCCAAACCCCCCTCCCACCTCCCTCCCCATCCCATCCCTCTGGGTTATCCCAGTGCACTGGCTTTGAGTACCCTGTTTTCATGCATTGAACTTGGACAGGTCATCTATATCACATATGATAATATGCATGTTTCAGTGCTATTCTGTCATATCATCCCACCCTCGCTTTCTCCCACAGAGTCCAAAAGTCTGCTTTTTATATCTGAATCTATCTGTTGTTTTGCATATACCGTTGTCGTTACCATCTTTCTAAATTCCATGTATTTGTGTTAATATACTGTATTAGTGTTTTTCATTCTGACTTACTTCACTCTGTATATTAGGCTCCAGTTTCATCCACCTCATTAGAACTGATTCAAATGTGTTCTTTTTAATAGCTGAGTAATACTCCATTGTGTATATGTACCAGTTTTCTTATCCATTCATCTGCCAATGAACATCTAGGTTGCTTCCATGTCCTAGCTATTGTAAACAGTGCTGCAATGAACATTGGATTACATGTGTCTCTTTCAATTCTGGTTTCCTCAGTGTCTGTGCCCAGCAGTGGGATTGCTGGGTCGTATGGCAGTTCTATTTCCAGTTTTTTAAGGAATCTCCACACTGTTCTCCATAGTAGCTATACCAGTTTGCATTCCTACCAACGATGTAAGAGGGTTCCCTTTTATCCACACCCTCTCCAGCATTTATTGTTTGTAGACTTTTTGATGGCAGCCATTCTGACTGGCGTGAGATGGTACCTCATTGTGGTTTTGATTTGCATCTCTCTGATAATGAGTGATGTTGAGCATCTTTTCATATGCTTATTAACCATCTGTATGTCTTCTTTGGAGAAATGCCTGTTTAGTTCTTTGACCCACTTTTTGATTGGGTCATTATTTTCTTGGTATTGAGCTGCATGAGCTGCTTGTATATTTTGGAAATTAATTATTTGTCAGCTGTTTCCTTTGCTATTATTTTCTCCCATTCTAAAGGGTGACTTTTACCTTGCTTATAGTTTCCTTCATTGTGCAAAAGCTTTTAAATTTAATTAGGTCCCATTTGTTTATTTTTGTTTTTATTTCCATTATTCTGGGAGGTGGGTCATAGAGGATCCTGCTGTGATGTATGTCAGAGAGTGTTCTACCTATGTTTCCTCTAGGAGTTTTATAGTTTCTGGTCTTGCATTTAGATCTTTAATCCATTTTGAGTTTATTTTGTGTATGGTGTTAGAAAGTGTTCTAGTTTCATTCTTTTACAAGTGGTTGACCAGTTTTCCCAGCAACACTTGTTAAAGAGATGATCTTTTCTCCATTGTATATTATCACCTCCTTTGTCAAAGATAAGGTGTCCATAGGTACGTGGATTTATCTCTGGGCTTTCTATTTTGTTCCATTGATCTATGTTTCTGTCTTTCTGCCAGTACCATAATGTCTTGATGACTGTAGCTTTGTAGTATAGTCTGAAGTCAGGCAGGTTGATTCCTCCAGTTCCATTCTTCTTTCTTAAGATTGCTTTGGCTATTAGAGACTTTTTGTGTTTCCATATGAATTGTGAAATTATTTGTTCTAGTTCTGTGAAAAACACCATTGGTAGCTTGATAGAGTTTCAATTGAATCTATAGATTGCCTTGGATAGTATACTCATTTTTACTATATTGATTCTTCCAATCCATGAACACAGTATATTTCTCCATCTCTTTGTGTCATCTTTGATTTATTTCATCAGTGTTTTATAGTTTACTATATATATCTTTTGTTTCCTTAGGTAAATTTATTCCTAAGTATTTTATTATTTTTGTTGCAATGGTTAATGTGATAGTTTCCTTAATTTTTCTATTTTCTCATTGTTAGTGTATAGGAATGCAAGGGAATTATGTGTATTAATTTTATATCCTGAAGCTTTACTTTATTCTTTGATTAGTGCTAATAATTTTCTGGTGGTGTCTTTAGGGTTTTCTATGTAGAGGATCATGTCATCTGCAAACAGTGAGAGTTTTACTTCTTCTTTTCTAATCTGGATTCTTTTTACTTATTTTTCTTCTCTGACTGCTGTGGTAAAACTTCCAAAACTATGTTGAATAGTCCTGGCAAGAGTGGGCACCCTTGTCTTGTTACTGACTTTAGAGGAAATGCTTTCAATTTTTCGCCATTAAGGATAATGATTTCTGTGTGTTTGTCGTAGATGGTTTTTATTGTGTTAAGATATGTTCCTTCTATGCCTGCTTTCTGGAGAGTTTTTATCATAAATGGCTGTTGAATTTTGTTAAAGGCTTTCTCTGCATCTATTGAGATAATCATATGGTATTTATCTTTCAGTTTGTTAACGTGGTGTATTACATTGATTTATTTGTGAATATTGAAGAATCCTTGCATCCCTGGAATAGCCCACTTGGTTATGGTGCATGATCTTTTTAATATGTTGTTGAATTCTGTTTGTTGGAATTTTGTTGGGGATTTTTGCATTTATGTTCATCAGTGATATTGGGCTGTAGTTTTCTTTTTTGGTAACATCTTTGTCTGGTTTTGGTATGAGGGGGACATGGCCTCATAGAATGAGTTTGGGGATTTACCTTACACTCCAATTTTCTGGAAGAGTTTGAGTAGGATAGGTGTTAGCTCATCTCTAAATTTTGGGTAGAATTCACCTGTGATGCAATCTGGTCCTGGGATTTTGTTTGTCAGAAGATTTTATATTACAGTTTCAATTTCTGTGCTTGTGGTGTGTCTGTTTGGATTTTCTGTTTCTTCCTGGTTAAGT